AAGATAATTGTGTATATTATATCTTTTTTGTTTTAGGTACTTAAAGTTTTATGATTAAATTAGATGTCTAACATCTATTATGCTATTATTTAAAGTCTATAATAGTTAAAAAATTTGTCATCCAATCAGTGTTTGACATGTAACATTTTTTTATAATTTTATTTTTAAAAAATAAAATCATTAATTTTCATAAAACCTCATAAAATCCTTAAATTATTCAAGGTTCCCTAAATCCTTAAACACAAATATTTAAATCTCATATACTACCCTTAAATCAATCACCACAAGTCATTTCTTCTATTGTCGTCGCCCGTCATTGCTCAATATAGAGTACTTACAAACCTGGTCGCTAACCCCGTCGCGTAAGTTTACTTTTTCCACTCAACTATTGCTTGTGTGTTATCGTCGATAAGGTTATACTGCTGCACAAACCAAAATCGAGCGGTCAGAATCTTCGCTCGCTGCTTGATCTTGGGTTGTTTAAGGGATTTTGGGATTTATGAATTCATGGATTAAGGATTTGATATTTTTCGAGAAATTATAAAACTTAGGGTCTTTAAAAAAAATAAATTTTAGTGTGAAAAATAATAGGCAAAAAGGAATTAGAGGTTTACGTATTTTTTTAAAAAATTAATGTGGCTATCGTATTATTTTTTCTCTTTCAATGTGACTCTCTCACTCAGAAAATAAATTCAATGTGACCATTTGAGCAATGTTTTTCGTCGTTTGATCGTTACGGAGTTGATGTGGCGGTCCACGGTATTGACGTGATGGTTCACGGTGGTTGATAACGTGATGAACTACATGGTAGATGAACTAAATTGGTAACTTAAACATGACAAATGGACTGCCACGTTAGTGTCGTGAACCATCACATCAATATCGTGAACTGTCACGTCAGGACCATTGTCGTAACCGTCTTTCGGTTGGGCCCCGAATTGGGCTTCGACTTGAAATAATTGGGTTGAGAGTCGCCACCGACCACTTTAAAACGAATTTAGGTGGGTCGGACACCATCTTACCTGATCTGCGTTTTTACCAGAAATGTGTCGGGTTCGGAAGTCGGTTACGGTCAAGAAAGGATTAGCACCCTTGAACCGCCCTTCGATACCAATTAATTTGCCGGTTGTCTTAAATTAAGAAAATTGTAATTTAAAATTAAAAGGTAAAAATACGATCACAATTACTTACCTTAGATAGTTTTAAAGGTGTGGCCTTAAGAAAGTCAAAAAATCATGTTATATAAAAAATGTAAGAAATAAATAAATAAAATTAAAATGAAGAAAAAACAAATTAAATAAAAGATAAGATAAAGAAAGCAAATATAAAATAGTAAGTAAAATAAATATAAAAAAATAAAAAAATAAAGAAAAAGAAAAAATATATAAATAAAACAAATAAATAAAATAATAATAAAAAAGTAAAAATAATATATATATATATAATAAATAAAAAAATAAAAAATAGTAAATATATATATATATATATATATATATATAAATTAATAAAACTGATAATAAAAAAAATATATATATATATAATCTAAAAAAAATAAAATATATACTAAAGTAAAAAAGAAAATGCATAAAATGTAAAATATATTACATGAAAAAAAAGAAAAGAAAAATAACAAAATAAATAAAATGAGTAACAAGGGAAATGTGCGTATAAATAAAGTTAAATAAATAAAACAATAATAATTAAAACGTAAATGTAAGAGACCGAATCAAAAGTAAAAAAGATGTTACATTTTATTTCCTTTTCGAATCGTTTACAATAGCTTTGCTTTTGTATTTTTCGTGCTTTCCTCTGTATTTTGTATGTAAATCGTGTCCTACAAATGGGGAGGATTACATGTATTTATAGTGAAAAAAAACTAACTATTTTTATAATCCTATTAACAATAGAATCCTAATGCAACTAGACTACTTGCTAGTTGTTGCACGTTTGTTGGTGTAGTTGTTTCTTTAAAAGATATGGTGGTGGAATAGTCCGCATAGGAGAGAAACTCTTGCTAGTTCTATCTTTTAAGAAAATGGATGTCTACAACCGTAACAGTCAAACGACGAAAACATTGGTTAAATGGTCACATTGGGTTGAAGGGGCATATCGAGAGAAAAAATAATACGAGAACCATATTGCTTTTTTTTAAAAAGTACAAGGTCCTATTATGTTTTTTACCAAAATAATATTAATAAGAAACTAATAGGCAAAAGGCATCCAAGGCCCTCCAACTTAAAAAAAAAAAACCAATGTGGTCCTATCGTTTTTTGTTCAATGTGGCCCTCCAACTCGAAAAAAGAACTCAATGTGGCCCTCCAAATATAAAATAAATATAAATCTAAGGATTTGAATATAAATCTAAGTTCTAATTATAAACTAAAATAGAATTATAAAAATGAAATAGAAGAAAACAATTAGAATTAAATAAATAAATAAATAAGAACAAAAAAACATGTAAGAGTAAATTTAAAATCGCAATACAAATAATAATAAAGAAAAATAATTCTTCTGCTATGAGAGACTTCAAAGAGACTGTAACTGATGACCTCATTGATCACCCTTATTTTGGCCTTTCTTTTACTTGGAGTAACAAACAACAAAGCTCCTTCCTTGCTAAGAAACTTGATAGAGTTCTTGTCAATCATAATGGGATGAATTCCTTCCCTTCTTCTCATGTAGAGTTTCTTCCACTTGGCACATCAGATCACTGTCTTGCTATTTTATGGCTTTACAAAGAGACCCAAGCTAATCGGCTAGAACCCTTTAAATTCTTCAATTTCTGGACCCAAGACCCAAATTTTTTGAATGTTGTCAATAACTCTTGGCAAATTCCTTCATTTGGCAACCCTATTCAAATCCTTTCACTAAGCTGAAGAGACTAAAGCCTCATTTTAAGGAGCTTAACCATACTTTCTACAGTGACTTGTCAGACTGAGTAAAAAAGAAATAATCAGAACTAGAACTTCAGCAAATTAAAACTCTTAAAGGGGAGGTTGTTTTTGAAGATGAGCTTAAATTACAAAAAGAATTAAAAACTCTTGAAGATGCAGAAAATATGTTCTTAAAACAAAAAGCCAAGGTTCAATGGCTTAAGGAGGATGATAAATGCACTATGTTTTTTACTCTGTTGTTGCTTTTAAAAAGAAAAGAGACACTATCATAATTCTGGTTGATGATCAAGGGAATATATTAGAAACTTTTGATGGTATGTCCTCTGAAGTTATAAACTTCTTCTCTAATCTGTTAGGTTCCCCTGACCTAAATGTTAAACCCCTTGATCCTCATCTCTTAAAGGACCTTCTTCAGTCATCATCTTCTTCAGTTATCCTTGCCTTCTGAATCTACTGTTGATCTTATAAAAAATGTCTCAAATGAGGAAATAAAAGAAGCTTTATTTACCCAAGGGAATGTCAAAGCCCCTGGCCCAGATGGGTACTCTCCTATTTTCTTCAAAAAGTCATCGGTTATCATTGCTGAAGACACTACTGCTGCCATAAAACATTTCTTCAAGGATTCTTTTTTGCTTCCTGCTTTTAATGACACTGCCATTGCATTGGTTCCAAAAATTCCAAATTCAAGTAAAGTCAAAGACTTCAGACCCATTTCATGCTGCTCTGTGGTTTACAAAGCAATCTATAAGATATTGGTCAGCAGACTTTCCAAATTTCTTCCTGACTTCATCACTCTCAACCAAACTGCTTTTATCAAAGGCAGAAATATTGTTGACAATACCCTTTTGCCTCAGGAACTTGTCAAAGGCTACAACAGGAATAATATCTCTCCTAGATGCACTTTGAAAATTGATATTCACAAAGCATTCGACTCTCTAAATTGGGATTTTATCATTGCTATTCTAAAAGCTCTAGGTCTTCCTCATGTCTTCATTAACTGGATTGAAATCTGTCTTTGTACTGCTACCTACTATCTTTTTTAATGGGACCTTAATTGTTCATTTCAAAGGTGCAAGAGGAGTTAGGCAAGGAGATCCCCTCTCTCCTTTTCTTTTTGTTCTCTCAATGAATATTCTTTCAAGACTCCTCAACATGGCAGCAACTAAAGGTGCTTTTGGATACCATCCAAAATGCAAAAGAATTGCTCTTACTCACCTCTATTTTGTCGATGACCTTTTAATATTTTGTAAAGGGTATGTGGATTCTGTTTTTGGTGTTACTACTGTCCTTGATCTTTTTTATGAGATGTCTGGGTTAAGCCTTAATGCTTCTAAATGTTATCTGTTTGCTGTTGGTATCCCCTCTGTTGATTTTGAGAAAATTAAACAGATTACTGGCTTTAAGCTTAGCAGTCTCCATCGTTATTTAGGTATCCCCTTAGTCATCAGGAAGATATCTGAAAAAGATTGCTCTTCTCTCATTGATAATATTAAAGCTAGATTACATTTCTGGTCTGGTAAATCACTCAGTTATGCTGGCAGATTGGAATTAATTCGAGCAGTGTTATATAGCATTGCAAATTATTAGTGCAGGCAATTAATTCTTCCTTCATCTGTTATTAAAAAGATCGAGCAGCTCTGTTCAAGGTTCTTCTGGAAGGGGACTGACAAATCTGCCACTGGTGCAAGGGTGAATTGGCAGAAATTGTCTCCCAAAATCTGAAGGGGGACTTGGCCTTAAAGACTTAAGATCATAGAATAAGGCATGTCTGATGCTTCTCATTAAACAAATTTTAGCAGGTAACGGTTCTTTATGGGTGGAATGGCTTAGAAACTACATCTTTAATGTCTATGATTTCTGGAATATTGAGATAAAGTCTTCCATGAGCTGGAACTTAAGGCAAATATTGAAAATGAGACCAGAAGATATTTCTATTATGCTGCATTCTATGACAAAAGTTAAAGAAATCTGGAATGTTATCAGGGTTAAGTCCCCCAAAGTCCAATGGCATAAGCTACTATGGTTCCCTCTTCACGCCCCCAAACAAAATTTAATTACTTGATGGTTTTCCTCGATAGGCTTCCAACAAAAGAAAGGTTACAACGCATGGGTCTCCTTAATGATTGTCATTGTGTTTTCTGTGGTGCTGCTATGGAAACTAGGAATCATCTCTTCTTCGATTGTCCTACTGCTAGTTCATTATGGCCTGCTGTCTTCTCTCTAAATGGTTTGCAAAACAATCTTTTATCATGGAATGATCTCCTTGCTTGGGCTGCTGCTAAATGGAAGGGTAAATCCCTTCTCACATACATTCTAAAGATTGCTTACAATGCCCTTATCTACTCTCTCTGGGAGGAACGAAACAAAAGGATTTTTCAAGAACGTTCAAGAACCATTGAAGATTTGATTCATGCCATAAAGAAAATGGTTGATTTCAATTAAGGGGAAGAAACATTAATAGATTAGATCCTACTAATATCACTCTTTGCATAATTGGGGTATTATTTGATTACTGTAAATTTTGTAATTACTATTCCTTGTAATATGTAATTTGAACACTGTTTTTGTAGCATTTCTTGCTCTTTGGGTAATATATGATTGAATTATCCAAAAAAAGAAGCTCAACCCTCTCTCTCGATCCTTTTAACCTTATAAACCTAAAAATCGACTACCGTCTACGGTGTCCCTCTAACCTCGATCGATCACTATCCCCTAAAACTACCAAAACCCTCAGATCTTCTAATCTAAACCTAAATCGGAGCTTGAAATACTACAAAGTGACCTAAAACTCCCTAAAAACCCTTTGACCTTTCTAACCTAAAACTTCCCCTAACAGAGGCTAAAATCCCCCAAACAAAACTCGAAGCAAATGATTAAGGGGATTTACCCTCTCACTTCCTTCACTATATATGGTGAGGACTCTACCATAAATCTCTGACATCATGTAGTCTCTCTCCCTTTTTTATTTCAGAAAGAAGCATGCAAGGTAAAAACGAAGCGATTACTACCTTAAAAAAACTTTGATTTGTATTTCGATTTCTTGATTTCCAAAGACCTCCTTTATTTTTTTGTGGGTTTATATACCCAATTACATCAAGAGTTACAAACGTCAAAACCTCAACCAAAAGCATCACTCACTTTTCTGATTTTCTTGTTGATTTCTCATTTTGGTGCACGTTAATCTGATTTGGTGCCGAAATCACCTCTTGTCTGGCTCTGCCACTGTTGGGGGCGGTCAAGTGACTGGGAACATGTCCCTTGCTCACATGTTGGGGTTGTCAATGTAACACCCCTAACTCATATTCGACCCGAATACAAGTCCGAGATGTCACATTGAGTTTTCAAACTTTGATTCTTAAAGAAAACTAGAGAAATTTAAAACTTTCATTAAAACAAAATACTTTAATTGACATAAAAGAGACCACTCAATACGAAATCGATCAGAGCATTCGTAATTAACCACTTATTACACCAACACTCTATACATAACAAAATACCTACTTTGTCAATTACTTCTGATCTGATTTCTTAGTAATGTTGTTGTCCGTGCCACTTCTATTCTGAATCTTCTTATTTCTTGGTACCTACGTGTAAATCACTTACACGCTAAGTCATAGACTTAGTGAGGCAATAAATGAATATGCAACAATATCTTCCTGAATATGCATTCTTACCATTTCCTTCATGACATTTCAATATGTATGTATCTATTACACAATAACATATATAATCATATCATGCATGCATGAAACTTACCTTCTTGTACCTTTCACTTACTTTGTATTTCAATTGCCCACGTATATTATTGAGAAAAGAGGTATGTGAGTACATTGAGGTTGTGCACTAATGCTATCACCACAGCTCGTATCAATTCCCTCATGGGGCACCAAACCTTAGTTTAGTATTCGTCCCGAATGACTGTTGTATATGTCCCATAGGATCACTACATCCCGAAGGACTATGTCCCGAAGGAATATGTCCCGAAGGACTATGTCCCGAAGGACTATTATACCCTCGACTCTTGGCATGCCAATTACACCTATAGCTCTCTTATCGTATACTATGGGCATTATTCTTATATTTCATATGTTCATGTACTCATGTCATTTCTCTTGTGATCATGTAGTTCATGTCACTTACTTCATGTCATGTTCTCATATCAAATATCATATCACATGTGTATTTGAATCTATTCATATATATACATCATTTATCCAATCACATGAACATATATATGCCTTATGCATGTATTACAATAATTGTCATGTATGCTGTTCACAACTATTGTATATGAAAAATATAGTATCACTCACCTTAGCTTGCTTTATCGATTTTAATCCTTTGATCGTTATGGAATAAGCTTACTTTAGTATCTACATAATCACACATGGATATATATCAGTATTATAGTAATATATATAATGGTTCACTCTTTAGATTAAGATAAATGCCAATTTTTTCTTTTAATGAAGGTATGCATCGATGCACTACTTGTGCATCGTGCATAAAATGTATTCGATGTTTTATTATTAAGAATACATCGATGCATGCCTTATGCATCGATGCACTATTGCATTCGATGTTTATATTTTAAAAGAGTGCATCGATGCTACTGTGCATCGATACACCTTCAAAATTCTGGGTTTTAACCTTGATGCATCGATGCACTCTGCCCCAGAATCCTCTTTTGAACCCAAAAATTCATTCATTTTGGATTAAATCCTTCATGTTTAATCCCTTTTTCATTCTTAACTCTAGTACACATCCTTAAACCAATTTATACTCATTTATTTCATCTTAAACCTCCAAATCCTATCCTTCATATGTAATTCAAGAATTACATCAAAATTCAACATGTTTGAATTCCACTTTTACACTAGTATATCTTAACTAGATTGATGACAAGTAAAATTTAACTTTCAATTCTAGTTATGAACTCTATTCCAAGATTTCATTTAAGAACATCAAATCTTAAATCTCTCTCCTAACTCCATCATCCTTTGATGTTAATATAAACTTAAGATTTCCTTAAGCTTAGTTATCATCTAATAATCAAAAACCAATCTTAAATTTAACAAGAAACTCAATAATAAAAAATCTTACCTTTGCTTTGGTTCACACGCACAAGGAAGAAGAAGAAGAGAACTCTGGAAGCCTTGGGTGTTTTCTCCCCTTCCACCCCGTGTATCCTTATATATATACTTATCATTTCTTTAATTATTTTTTCCTTGCAATTACTCTATTGTCCTTCCATATCTTATTCCTTTCAATTCTATCCTACACAATAATTCACATGTAAATCTTTATACTATCATTCATTTTATTTTAACCACCAAATTCTGAGACTTTATAATTTAGTCACTAACCCGGTATTGAGGATGTTACAACTCTCCCCTTAAGAAAATTCGTCCTCGAATTTTCATTATGCAAAGAGGTAGGGGTACTAATCCTCATGTCTTCATGTTCCCATGTTGCTTCCTCTACTTTGTGATCCTCCACAAGACTTTAACCAATGGAATAGTCTTGTTCCTTAGTTGCTTGACTTCGTGAGCTAATATTTGAACATGTTCTTCCTCATAATTTAAATATGGTTGAACTTCAATTTCTTCATAGTCAATGTGGGATGGATCAGATCGATATTTCCTAAGCATTGAGACATGAAAGACATTGTGTATCTTTTCCATTTCAGGTGGCAAAATTAGTTGATATGGTCCTACTCTCTTAGTAATCTCGTAAGGTCTAATGAATCGAGGACTCAACTTTCCTTCCGTCCAAACTTCAATACTGTCTTCCACGGAGACACTTTCAAGAACACTTTATCTCCGACTTGAAATTCAATCTCTTTCCTTTTAAATCATCATACGATTTCTGTCTATCAGCTGTAGTTTTCAGATATTCTGAATTACTTGAACTTTTTCTTCCGTATTTTGAATCAACTCAGGACCAATAATTCTCGATCCTTAAGTTCATACCAGTTCAAGGGCGTACGACATCTTCTTCCGTATAGAGCTTCATAGGAGCCATTTTTATGCTTGACTGATAACTATTGTTGTGCGCAGCAAGTGGTAAATACCTTTCCACGATCCTTTGAATTCAATGACACAAGCTCTTAGCATATCCTCCAGAATTTGAATAGTTCGCTCGGATTGGCCATCGTTTGAGGATGAAACGTTGTACTGAAGTTCAACCGAGTTCTCAGTGCTCCATGTAATGACTTCCAAAACCGTGATATGAATCTAGGATCTCAATCAGAAACTATGGAAATAGGTACACTATGCAAACGTATAATCTATAATATACAGTTCTGTATACTTATCCATGGAGAAATCAGTTCGTACCGGAATAAAATGGGCTGACTTAGTCAATCTATCTACGATCACCAGATTGAATCCTTTTTATTCGGAGTTAAAGGCAACCCCGTGACAAAATTCATCGTTAGGTTTTCCCATTTCCATTGAGGAATTGAAATTGGTTGTAACAATCCTGATGGAACCTGATGCTCAACTTGACTTGTGACAAGTCAAACACTGATATAAATTTCGTAATGCCTTTCTTCATTCCCGGCCACCAATATCGACTCTTGAGATCCATATACATTTGTTCCCTCCCGAATGCATTGTCAATGGACTACAATGAGCTTCATTTAAAAAATCATTCTTTAATTCATCATCATCCGGAATTATCAATCTTTCTCGATAATACAAGTTCTCATCAGACTTAATCTCATAATCTATACCCTCTCAATTCTTTATATGTTGTATCTTCCTCCGATGCATTGTCAATGGACTACAATGAGCTTCATTTAAAAAATCATCATTCTTTAATTCATCATCATCCGGAATTATCAATCTTTCTCGATAATACAAGTTCTCATCAGGACTTAATCTCATAATCTATACCCTCTCAATTCTTTTATGTTGTATCTTCGCTTCATTTAAAAAATCATTCTTTAATTCATCATCATCCGGAATTATCAATCTTTCTCGATAATACAAGTTCTCATCAGACTTAATCTCATAATCTATACCCTCTCAATTCTTTATATGTTGTATCTTCTTTAAACACTTTCCATCTTTAGTTTGCAATTCTTTAATTTGTAATTCTTTAATTCGATCTAGCCATGCTTGACAATCAGTTCTGCACAGATTGCACTATCTTCTCTTAACGAATCTAGCATCAAGAGCTCGCAAAGATGCAAACGTCTTTTCTCAAGGCATCAGCTACCACATTTGCCTTTCCGGGATGGAAATCAATCACAACATCATAATCCTTGAGAAATTCCACCCATCTTCTTTGTCTTAAATTCAACTCTTTCTGAGTCATCAAGTATTTTAAGCTCTTGTGATCCGTATACAAGTAGCACTTTTCACCATACAAGTAGTGACGCCAGATCTTTAAAGCAAACACTATTACCGCCATCTCTAGGTTGTGTGTTAGATAAT